GTTGACTGGCAGTCGCCCAAAAGATATGTCCATGTCCTAATCTTTAAAAAATGTGAATGTGACTTTATTTGGAAAAAGGGTCTTGCAGATGTAATTAAATTAAGTATATTGAGATGAGATCATCATTGGTTTTAAATTCAATGACAAGTGTTCCTATAAAAGACAGAGCAGCAGACAGACATACAGAAGAGAAGGCAGTGTGAGACAGAGGCAGAGATGGGAATAATGTGGCCACAAACCAAGGAATGCCGCCAGAAGCTGGAATAGGCAAGAGAGAATTCTCCCCTAGAGCCTCCAGGGGAAACACGGCCCTGCAGACATTTTGATTTCAAACTTCAGGCCTCTAGAATTGTGAGACAATACACTGTTGTTGTTTTAAGCCATCCAGTTTGTGATCATTTACTGTAGCAGCCACAGGAAACTAATATAGATGCTAAAACCAAAGGTGAAAGAAGGAGTTTAGAAAGTCTTAAAGCACCCACAAAATTCTTATTAATTATTAGGGAAATACAGTAACTCATTAGTGGAGAAACTTGGCAGTAGCCCTTTTACAAAACTCATTGGGTTTTGGAGTCAAACACAGCTGGTTTGAAGTTCCACCTGCACCATTACCAATTTACATTAGCTCAAGTGAATTTGAGAGTTAGTTAATTTCATTAAGTCTCAATTTCCTGTGGAATGGGAATATTAGCAACCAATACCCACATCTTAAGACCATTTTGAGGATGAAATGAGACAATCCATGTAAACCCGCTAGCACAGGATCCAGCACAGAAGTATTAAACATATTAGTTATTCTAAGGAGAATAGCTATTCACCTATAGAATAAGGTTTAAAGTTCCTGTAATATATTCAGAGAGATAAAATAAACATTCAATGAAAGATTTATGATCTTTAATTTCCACACCCATATCTTTCTAGCTCATAATTAAATTATGTTTCATTCCCATACATCCTGGTCTCCATTCATTCAATCTTGCTTCTTCCAGACCCCTGATCAGCTAAGCTATTCAGTGGAGCCCTAGCGTCCATCCATATCAATAGCTCAGACCACTCCCTCGACATACAAAATTGATGACCAAAGATGCTTCTTGAAGCTCTGCTCACTGGGAGGAATGTCTCATTACTGTCTTTCAGTGACACTTCCCAGTGAAGCCGTGGCTTCCAAAGAAGCAGGTTTAAACACAGCTCTTCGGACTCCATTGCTCTCTCTCTGAGGGGTGTGGCAGGCAACTGAGAAGGGCAGTCGAAGATGATGGATAGGGTCAAGCCTCAGAGACCAAGAAAATGATAGTGGGGCTTAACTTAATTTCCGATGTTTTAATTTAATTTCTGACATTGACGTAACAGATAAAAATAGGGCTGTCCTGGCAAAGACAGAGCTTATAGTTCCCCCCAGTGTCAGAAGTGATAGGAAAAATGAAAAACTAAGTACCCTTTCCCTAATCAACCCAATTCTCACAAACACCCCTGATATTCTCAGTTAAACTGCAAAGTGGACCATCTCAGATCTAATTACTAATTGGTCTATTTGTAACATTGGAATGTATGGAATTATTGACTACATTTTTAGTCAGGCAAGCCCAAATTCTGCATTTCCCAACAAGCTAAATAAATGAAGCTCATTTCATCTTCAGCTGCCTCAGTGAAGATGAAATTCTGTGGCTCCCTCCCTCAACTGATGGCCTCCATTACCTTAAAGCAAGTTGCTGAATCCTGGGCCTCAGTTTCTTCAACAACAAAATGTGGGTGATGAACTACTCAGTCTAACTCCAAGCTACCTACCAGTTGAAATACTTAGTGATTAACATTTTTTTTCATGTATTTATTTTTAGAGAGAGGAGAAGGAAAGGGGAGAAACATTAATATTGAAACATCAGGGACCAAACCTACAACACAGGCATGTGCCCTCACCAGGAATCGAACTGGTGACCTTTTGCTTTGTAAGACATTGCCCAACCAAGCTACACTGGTCAGTTCTGAAATATTTGGTGATTTTTAATGGGATGGGAGGAAGGTTGGAAAATCTGGAAAATCTGGGGAGACTGTGCATGGATATATTCTAAACCAGGGATGTCAAACTCATTTTCACTGGGCTGTGGGGGTGTGGTGGGGTGCACATCAGCCTCGAGGTTGCCTTCAAAGAGCCTGGCTGAATGTAATTTTAGGACTATAAATGTAACTACTCCTTAATAGTTAAGAGAGAGCTCGGTGCTGCCTTGGGGTAGAAACAAAGTGCCTGGTGGGATAAAACAAGGTGGAGGGGTGGATTTGGCCTGCAGGCCTTGCGTTTGCCACCTGTGTTCTAACCCATCACTAACACCTAGACAATAAACTCAGAAGGAAGTGAAGAGGGGAGTGGGGGAAGAGGCTCTCCTTAAGTGGAGGATTTCAGTTCATCTTGTAAACAAACTGCCTTTGATTTCATCAGTTTTCAGATCCTGTCCCCTAATTTTAGGATTGAGATAGAAATTCTGATTTGTTAGTTAGAGTGGAATATGTGAACAACTAAATCAACTATCTGAATGAGTATTTTAAAAACAATATATGTATGTATTCATTCAATAAACATGTATTTAGAGCCTACTATAATGCCAGGCATAGCACTAAGTGCTGGGTGTACAAGGATAGATTAAATATAACTCCTGCCTTTAAGGAACTCACCACTATCTGTGAGGAAAAGTGGCAGATATACAACTAATTGTAATGAATGTGATAGTGTTAAATATAGTAAGTATAATTAGCACCATAGGGCAACTGAAAAGGAAGCAATTGGTTTTGCTTTGGTAAGTTGGGGTAATGTCATGGAAATCAAAATGTTTGATCTGGATCTTGAAAGATGAGAACAAGTTCCACAGGCAACGAATGGAATGACCATTTTTATTTAAAACAAGAATAAGGCTCATTGTAGATTTTTGACACTCTCTAAATCATATTTAAAGTAACCTAGTTGGAAATTATTTGAAAAAGATCATGGCGTTTACAGCATAGGAAGTATATTTTCAGCAGGGAAGAAGACATTTTCAGTTATCATTGGTTTTTACCGAAAAGATTTAATGATGTTATATGTGTAGACATTTTGTAACACTGGAAGTATATGGGTATTGATTTAGGGTAAATTAAGGAAATTTCACTTAATGGGCAAAGGAACATCACATATGGTGGCAGAGTACTATTATTTAAAAAATACTAAAAATTTTCCTTAGTATCTTCTTTTCTGACTTATGTGGTATAAACAAACTACATAATGGTGTGTGGGACTATAAAGGTTTTATTGCCACTTGCTTGGTATTGCCTGCATTACTTACTCTGAGTACCAGTTCTGGGTATCTCAAACTAAGTGCCATAAAAGATTTACAGCATGCCACTCCACTTCCTACACTTTCCATAGAGACAAAACTTAAGTGCTCACAAAAGTACATATAAACATAATAGTTAGTAGTGAAAACTTTTTTGTTTTATTTAGATTACAGACCTGTAGTCCACAGTAAGAAAATAAATGTTGTAAGGAAGATTTATGTTTCTTCTCTACAGGATCTCACATTATCTGGCAAATTCCTTCCCCAAGGAAAACCACTTTTCAAAGATATCCTCTGTAAATGCATACTGGAATTAACATAAAATTGGCAAGGTCACTGAGTCTACACGTTTGAATTCATTTGTAAATAACTATTACTCACTTCCTTGCTTCCCCACCCCGGGACCGGACTCCAAGCATCACAGGTGCCGAAAGACTTACAAAAAGGAATGAATAGGAACAAAAGGATGTAGGCGCCAGGAGGAAAACAATCTCCCTAGACAAAATTAATCTCAAAAGAAATAGCTGATCCAATACTGGGTATTAGCGAAGTTTAAACTGCTTTTAAAATGGTGATAGGAGATAATGTATCAAATTTATTGGAGCTTCTACGCCTGCCTGATTTGCTTAAACCTTTCTGTTAGGCTTATCTTGAGGGATAGATTTCTGTGCCAAGCACATAATAGGTGTTAAACCAGTATTGATTTTTAAAGGAAGTGGCCAATAAATATAAACTTTACTCTTATTTTTAACTTTTACTTTATGCCTCAAACGGTGTTTTCTATGACCTCTGTTTCGCTACTAGCGTAGAAGAAACGCTCAAATGGAATAGAAGAAACTCAAATATTAATTAAATTACCGTGCACCCAACAGATAGGAAATGTTTGGGTAGAGTCCTGCTGAGATTCCAAGTCTCAAACAAAAAGCTCCAACACAAAGTGTGCATAGTGAGTTTAAATTTATTGCAATTAAAGTCACCCAGATGGTAGCTGGATTAATCAATGAAGAGCCACTATTTACCTTAGGATAGAAGATTCTAAAATCCAGAATGAGAAAATCCCCAAGGTGGTGGTGGGCACAGTTAATAAGAGCCCCTGGGAAAGGTCTTTTCAATGAGGACTGGAAAATAAAAACGTTTGAATTTGAACCTCTTTAAATGTAAACCTCCCCCTAACAGCAGGAAAAGGGTCCCCTAGCCGAGCAAGCTTTGGGCAGGAAGGGAGTAAACGGAACTGTAAAACAGCCCGCTCAGCTGTTTCTGGTTTGGATCTAGGCGCAGAGAAAGAAATCGCCTTGTAGAAACTGAGTATTTGGGTCACTCAAAATAATTCGAAGGGTCAAATAACGAGGTCTGTCAAAACATTGAGAAGTTTCTCTCCTTTGCAGCCCCCCATGCTGGATTTCCGCTCAAATTCCCCTTCCTCGTGCAGGGTGAACAGGAGGCACTGCCCCTTCCCACGCGGGGCACGGCGAGCGGATAGCTACCCTTGGAGCCGCCAACAGCGGAAAGTCTGCGGCCCGCAGGCTACGACTGGCGGGCGCCCCTGTGGGTCCTCGGAGCCGGAGCCGGCTGGGCTGGGGAGGCCTGGAGCCTTCACTGCCCCAGCTGGCCAGCCAGAAGGGGCCGGTGGTGGCGGAGGCCTCGCAGGCCGCCCCCTTGGTCCGTGAGCTGCGAGTGCGGGGGGGGCGGGGCAGAGGGGGTCGGGAAGTGCATCCTGGGAAATCCACCAACATGGGGCGAAGTCGCCACCGCCGCTGTGAGTCTGGCCCGCGGATGCTGCCGCTTCCCTGACGCCCAGCTGGGGCCTCGCCGCACGTCGTGGCCCAAGATTCCCAGGCACAGACTGGCCAGCGCGCCCTCTGCCTACCCGCCCGCCGCAGGCCGGGGCCATGTGAGGGGGGCAGCTCCCTCCGCCACCGCCTCCTCCTCCTCTTCCTCCCCCGCCCCTCCCCCCTCCCGTCCCCCCTTCACATAGGGCCTTAGAGGATCCCCCAGTGCTGCCCACCCTCCCTGCGCAATCCCTGCGATGGACAGGAACTACGCGACCTCCGGCTTTGCAGACCAGCCGCCGCCGCCCGCGCCCCACACTGCCCCGGCCGCAGCTACCGCCGCCAGCGCAGCCGCACAACCCCCTGCCCCCGCCTGGGCCTACGAACCCGGAGCCGCGGCCGCAGCCGCCAGTAGCAGCGGTAGCAGCGGCAGCAGCCCCAGCCTCAAGGCCAGGTAGGGAGGGTGGGCAGCGAGGTCGTGGTGGGCCAGGCAAGGCCGGGGATGCGTTTGGGGCCTTCGCCCCTGTGCAGCACCGCCCAGGGGTCTGGGCCGGGCATGGGGAGACCCCTCGTTTCTCTGCCCTCGCCCTCTGAGGGAGAGGCGATTGATGATTCCTCTGCGGTTGTCTGGGGGTGGTTAGGGGCACCCAGTGCGGGATTCGCGCCTGGGACTGAGCTGGGACTGTGGGTAAAAGGGAGTGCTGGGCGGGAGTCGTCGGTCTCCGTCACCTCCCGGGTTCTGAACACTCACATGGTGAAGTTTCGGTTCGTGGCTGAACTCGGCTATCTCGGAGACCCGCGAGTGCCTCCGAGGGGCGAGGGGAGCTCCGAAGAGTTGGGGGCAGTGGTATTCCATTGTATTGGAACCGACAATGTGGTCTTGGGGGCCCTGGCAGTGTGAGGGTGGGGGAGGCGAGAGAGGAAGAGACTCCGAGCCGCGTCACTGACGTTGGGGGACCCAGGAGGGCTAGACTGCAGGAGGACCCCTGGGTTGTGGGGCCCCGGGAGGGGTCCCAGTGGCGCGCGAACCCTGCTGCGGGCTGAGTGACATATGTTTATAGTGGTGATCAAGATTAAGCTATTTTTCTTCCACGCGTTCAAAGTTACTCTTTGGTTTCCTTCCCTTTCAACAACAGCAGGAAGTAAGGAATCTTTCTTTGCTCTCTGTGTCTTGGGGTATCTAAAAGTTGGGAAGAAATTGGGGGGGTGTCAGTGAAGGCCTTAAAAGTTGAATAATAGAAGCATGCTTCTTCATCTCGGCTTCCTGGAGACCTGGTTCATTATGGAGCGCGGGGTTCAAGAGTTCATTTCTCCAGCATGACCGAGGGAATCTAAAATGTTGACTTCTTACTCGATATTTAAGTTCGCGGGAAATGTGAAGTAGTGCCACTTTGTGAAACGGTCATTTGAGTGATAACTGGAAGGCGTGGTCTGGGTTGGATGATTCGTGAGCGGGGTGTTTTAAAGCCACTTCTGCTGAACAATGCTGAATCTGGTAGGTAGGTGCAGCTTCTGATTCAAGGACTGGGGAATCCTGGGTTGCTAATGACTTCATCCTCAACTACCAACAAGATGCCTCTTGGCTTTATCTCATCAGATTTCTTCATTATTGTTACGACAGAATCGAACTTTTTTTTTTACTTTATATATTACAGTGTTCTAGATTATCTTTGTCTTTATGAAAGCTCCACGTTCATGATTTGGAAAATAGGTGGGAGAATCAGCAGGTCTTTGTCTTAGAATTTTCTTGGGATGACTGAGAAAATCAGAAAAATATGGTTCAAAAAAGGGAAATAAGCTTCTTTAGAAAAATTTAGGTCCTTTGTTTAAAAGACCTGGAATTAAAAAGAAAAGTGATGTGCCAATTTGGAAATAAATACTTAAATACTGAAACCTTTCAGAAATAGTCATGACTTTATTATATACAATTAAGAGACATTTTAAAGAGTTTTAATGAAAGATGTTTGGCACCTTTCCCATTATTATTTTGGGGTGGTAGTTTGACTATCATTTTTCAAGTAGCTTTTGCATTGAAAACGACAATTTACAAATTAAAATTTCTTTTGCGTGAACAGCAATGATAGGTATTTGTGCAGTGTTTTTTATGTTTTAAATGAAAAAATGTTTTATTAGGTAAATGCAACAAATGCTACTTAGTTACTTCTGTTATTTCTTTTAGCAGAATACTTCTGAGGCAAGAAACTAAAATCTACTTGTCATATTTTCCAAATGTTATTTATCAAAATAACCAAGAATGACTTCCCAAACACATTTGAAAACAGTAAGTAGATTCATTTGGAACACATAATCTAAAAGGAATTTATTTTCTGTTTATTGGAAGTTATTGATTCTTCAATGCTAAGTCCCCCTGCCTAAAAATATTTTGGAGGATGGGGGTCAGCAAAATTATAGTAGAGAAAATGCAGGCTTTCCCCCTCCCCCGCCAACTTGCTTTGTTAACATCTTGTGTTAGGATCAGGCCATCTGTACAGGGCTACACACACTTCTTAATTGTAGTTCATTTTATTCCTCAGACCTTGTAATGCCCTCTTTCATTTCAGTTATATAGAAAATACTGAATCTGAAATATGCCCTGTAAGTTTTTCAGTATTCTGCATTTTTTAGTAAGCTGTTCATATTTTTATAACATTTTAAAGAGCTTTTTCATAATTCAGGTATCTGGTTGAATGTTTTTGTTTCCCTTTGTGGCAGTTTCTTCTTGAAGGTGCAAATGAGTACTAGTTATGATGATGTAATATGGATACTTAATCCATAAAGAATTAGCTTGTCTGTCACCTTGTTTCTAGTAACCTATTTAGAAGCTAACAGATGGTAATGACATTCAGTTGTTCCTGGCATACCATCTAACATCCTACTTTGTGTCTGCTTGATCCTGAAATGGAACATTTTCGTGAGTTGATGGGGGAAAGCATGGTGAGGATTAAGTGAGGTAACTCGGAACAATGTTTAAAACAGTGTCCAACATACAGAATAGTATATAGAATAGCATATAAAATATTGGCTTTATTGTCAGCACTCAGAATAATGTTTGGGACACTCTAAGTGTCCATTAAACATGCAGTGAATGAATAAAATAACTATGCTACTGGGCAAAATATTTGTTTTTTAAATTTTTTTACTTACTGATTTTAGAGAAAGAGAGAGTACATCGATTTGTTGTTCCATTTAGTTATGCATTCATTGGTTGATTCTTGTACGTGCCCTGACTGGGATCGAACCTACAACCTTGGTGTATCAGGGTGACACTAACCAACTGAGCTATCTGGCCAGGGTAATATTTGTTTCTTTTTTAACAAAAATTAAAATGTTTATTGATTTGAGAGAGAAGCATCAATGTGAAAGACAAACATTGGTTGCCTCCCAAACGTGCCCTGACTGGGGATGGAACCCACAACCTAGGTATGTGCCCTGACTGGAAATGGAACTCTCCACATTTTGGTATACAGCAGGTGCTCCAACCAACTGAGCCACACTGGCCAGGGCTTTGTTCCTTTTTAAGAGGTACAAAAATGTTTTGGGGACTTAGAGGGGAAAAATTATGTTAAGTTCAAGGGAATCATGGGGAAGCATTTATCAGTTATACTTCATATACATTGATCAAAATTACTATTAATATTTCATAAATGGAATAAGAGATTAGCAGAAAGAGCTTCTGAGAGCAAGTGTTTCAAAGAGGGAGGGAGTAGAATATGTTACACCTGTCAAGGGCTGGTCCTTTAACTGGCACAGTATCACTTCTACCAGTCTACTGGTTCCAGTGCAGAGTTATGGGAGGGAGACTATACAAAGCTATGTTTCATTGGTCACCAGAGTACCACTACCACAATGGATTAGTATAAGGGGTTTTGATGTCAGGCCATGCAGTTTAATTTCTACAGCCAATTGGGAGCTTTGAAAGGTATTGGAGAAGGATGATGATGATAATATGAACAAGAAAGTGTTTTAGTAGTAATTTGGCAATCAAGTACAGAATGTGTTAGAATTGGCAGAGGTAGAAAAGAAGATAAGAAATAAGAGACAATTCATCAGACCAAATAGGAAGGAAGATGTATTAGTCAGGGTTCTCCAGAGAAACAGGACCTGTGGTGGGGAGGGAGAAAGAGAAAGAATCATCAATTGGTTGCCTCCTGTATACACCCTAACTGGAATTGTACCTGCAACATTTTGGTATACGGGATGATGCTCCAACCAACTGAGCCACCTGGTCAGGGCGAAACACTTTTTTAACAGCAGTAAGAATGCTCTTATTTCAGGGGTTTTGGGCTGCTTCCTCTAGGACCACTCTTCCCTCTGATAACCTGCTTGGCTTTCTTCCACACTTCATTCAGTTCATCATGTCACATTGTTAGAGTCTCCCTTTAGTACCCTCATTACTGTATAGCCCTATGCCCTGCTTTAAGTTTTTTTTTAAAAAAAATACATATTTTTAAAAAGTTTATTGATTTTTAGAGAGAGAGAAATTGAGAGACAGACAGAAAAACATTGATTTGTTGTTCCACTTACTTATGCATTCACTGGTCAATGTGCCCTAACCAAGCGAACATGCAGCCTTGGCATATGGAGACAATAGTCTAACCAACTGAGTTACCTGGCCAGGGCCCCTGCTTTAAGTTTCTTCACAGCACTTATCAACCCTTGATATTAAATATTTGTCTGCTCTTGTTTATTGTTGGTTCCTGTCCATTAACTTGGGTGTTTTCTTGACAGTTCAATTCAAACTATTTGTTTTTATCTATTTGTCTATTATAAAAGTATTTGTTTTATAATAAGTGTTCAGTAAGTACTGACTTAATAAAGAATATATTTTATGATGGAGTATACTCTTTTTTGATGTATTATCTAATATTTAATTTTGGCCTTCAGAAGTTTAAGGTTGTTTAGGGATCATGACCATATGTTAGTCCTATGGTAGGGCTCTATGCATTTATGGGGTGTAACTAAGCATAAAATAATGAAATTTTCATATGACTTAATGCCATCATTCTCATTACAGTAGTGTGTGATCACTGATCCTATTCTAAATACCTCGAGAGAAGATTTGTCTGACCCAGTGAAGCATAGCAAACACAAAAATGTGAATTAGCTAAAATACTTTACTTGAATCTGCTTAAATTAGATGGCTTCACATTTTAAAACATTTCTCATATTGAGCAGACTGCAAGATGAATATTATTGTAGTACATAGAAGCTGGTACTATCCTCACTTAAACAGACATAAAACTATTTAAGTCAGAATTAGATTTGGCCAGAACCACAAAGGGTTTAGTGGAATAATGCCAAAATAAAAAGGGATAAACCATTTGGGATGGTGGTATTTAAGAACTATGGCTCAACAAAACCAAACCTCAGAATAAAACAAAATAGAGATAGTCTTTTACTACTGGTTAATATCTTTAACTTTTTAATTATTTTTTTAAACAAGCAAGTTTGGGC